TTTTAAAAAAAAAAAAAAAGAAAAGAAACTTTTAAACCTTGTTATCCATGTTACTCATTTAATTTCTTCTAGTATAAATTCATTTCTCTACCGCTGCTGCTCCTAATTTCAATTTTTCTGTGCTATCTTTTCTTTCCTTGTACTCTGCTTACTTTTCAGATGTCTTATTTATTCTTTGAATGAATTCATCATTTATTTAACTTCTTTGAGAGTGCAATTAGCCATCTGACATTTTCCTTGGAGAAACTTTTCCAGAAGTATGTGCTTCCTCTACCTCTCTATAATTTATTCCTTCTTTTCATGATACAGAATCTTGTAATTGGTTCTATTTTTTTTACTTCATTCTGTTTTATTAAAGTTTCTTTTATAACTGGTATTCTACTGAACCGCTAAACTTTATTTTGCTTTAACAAGTTTGCTCTTTCTTAAAAAACAAACAAGTTTACTCTTTATTTTTGAAGAAAAAAATGAGGTCTTGTTAAGTAAGTCAAGCGGTGACAGTTTTATGTGTAGTATATGGAAATGCCATTAAATGGATGACCTGCGACGCCTGGGTGACTCAGTCGATTAAGCGTCTGCCTTCAGCTCAGATCATGATCCCAGGGTCCTGGTATTGAACCTCGCATCCGGCTCCCTGCCCAGTGGAGAGACTGCTTTTACCTCTCCCTCTGCTCCTCCTGCTCATGCTCTCTCTCTCTCTCTCGCTCTTTCTCTAATAAATAAAAATATTTTTAAAAATATGTATCATTCTGGGCGCCTGGGTGGCTTAGTTGGTTAAGCGACTGCCTTCGGCTCAGGTCATGATCCCAGAGTCCCGGGATCGAGTCCCACATCAGGCTCCCGGCTCAGCGGGGAGCCTGCTTCTCCCTCTGACCCTCTCCTCTCTCATGCTGTTTCTCTCTCGCTCGCTCTCTAATAAATAAATAAATAAAATCTTTAAAAAAAAAAATATGTATCATTCTAAATTATTCTAATACTGTATATTGTTAAGATCTGTAGCAGACCTAATTCCTGGATTATTGCTTGTTTTTGTTTGTTTTTGCGTTGTTGATGTGGCAGGGATAATAAGCCCCATGTTTTCTCTGTAGTCATTCCCTAGTGTGTTGCCTGGCATGGAGTAGAAAGTAAATATTTAAACAAGTGAAGGAATGGATGATAGAAAGAAGATGTTGACGGTTACTTCATGAAATAGTCGGTTAGGTTAATTCAGTAATATTTATATTTCATATTCTTTTTTTAAGGCTACTGATGCCCGGAGGGCTTTTCCTTGCTGGGATGAGCCTGCCATCAAAGCAACTTTTGATATCTCATTGGTTGTTCCTAAAGACAGAGTAGCTTTATCAAACATGGTATGTATGTGTTTGTAAGTTATATTTAAAATTTGAATAAGCGTTTATAATACTTAGTTTTCTGGTTAGATGCAGTAGCATGAAACCACTTAGCACGGTGCTTGATACATAACAGGAGCACAGATGTTCATTTTCTTTATTTCCAGTAAGCCCTCTTTTTTTAAATTTCCTTATTTGGAATTTCCTTCCTCATGGAAGAAATTTCTTATAAACTTTAATTTGGAAAACTGAAAAAGTGGTAAGTTTAATAAATACTGCCTGAAAAAAAAATCTGACTTTCTTATTAAATGCCAAAAGATATAGGCATGTAATGAAGTGTATTTGGGTTTCTTAGAATATGCTCTCTTCACTGATGTCATTATCTCTTTCATAAATAGAATAAGCATTTACCACTTGAAATATACTGTTTAAGACAGAAGTACCCGATAGCCTGTAATATGAATCTGGGGAATTTGGAAAAGCCTACTGTACCTGAAAATACCTGGCTTTGCCTCCTTATGGTGCAGAGAATTCCATAGAATGCCATTCTCTTCTCAAATATTCCTAAAAAGGAGGCTAATATATTAAACCGAAATATTATTTTACAGTTTAGTATGAATGAATTTATCAGGTCTGTTCTTGAATAAGTCTTCCTTGGAAGAAAGAATAGATCTTGTGAAAGTAGAGCTCCTGAATAGGAAGAAGGGAGCGGTGGACAACAAAGAGAAATTAGGAACTCTGTAGGTCAAGTGGAAATTCCTCCACAAATTTGCTTAGAGCCAGCCTTGGTGTAGAGAATGCTCTAAATTTAGATATCTGTACCCTTTGAAATGCAGATTTCACAATTACCCTTCATTAATAATTATTGCCTTTTATCCTTATTTCACTTGAAAAGTATTGAGGTCTTAAAACATCCCAGTGCCTGGCATATAATAGGTATTCAAGAAAAGTTGCTTCTTTTCTCTCATAGATCCTTGGGAGTTTTAACACTTTAGCCCCCAACTTCTTAGTGTTTCCTTCTTAATAGGAAAGATTTTGACAGCATAAAAGCAGTGGATGAATTGGGATAGATAAGTAAGCAGTGCTGGAAGGGGGAAGGAGAAGCAGCAGAGTTTTTGGCTAGTATTTGCTTTAAGGTATTTAATGTAAATCTGTTTAAATTTTTTCTCTCTCTTTTTTTAAGAATGTAATTGATCGGAAACCATACCCTGATGATGAAAATGTAGTGGAAGTGAAGTTTGCCCGCACACCTGTCATGTCTACATATCTGGTGGCATTTGTTGTGGGTGAATATGACTTTGTAGAAACAAGGTCAAAAGATGGTGTGTGTGTCCGTGTTTACACCCCTGTTGGCAAAGCAGAGCAAGGAAAATTTGCGTTAGAGGTAAATGTACTTGAAGAGGATTGTTCCAACAGTCCATAACTCCAGGTTGGGGAATTTACATTTCTGATCAATTATTAGTACAATTATTTATAATTTAGTCTGAAATTTGTGTACTTTGGTTTTATTTTTAATAGAATTCTGAAACTACCAACCTTGGTGTTACATTAGCATTTTACAAGACAATGATTAAGAGAATATTAGAGTGGAATTTATTTATCCACAGAATGGGTGGGAAAAGATGTAGTATATTTTTCATACCAATATATTATAGATGGATTAAAGTTTGGCCAACATTAACAAAAGCCAAAGACTTTTGGAGGTAGGGTTCCCCGGGGTTGGTTTCTAGTAACTTGAGAAGCTTTGGCTTGCAACAGGATTCCTTTGTGGATTTCTATATGAATTACAATAAAATATTTATCAGACGGTTCTTTTGTTTATACTTTTGTAGGTTGCTGCTAAAACCCTGCCTTTTTATAAGGACTACTTCAATGTTCCTTATCCTCTACCTAAAATTGATCTCATTGCTATTGCAGACTTTGCAGCTGGTAAAGTAAATTTCATTTTATTGCTGAATTGTAATAACTTTTTTAAATTTTGTGATTTTGAGGAAGAAGTATGTATATATATCAATAAATGTTTATGTTTATTTTATGAAGGTGCCATGGAGAACTGGGGCCTTGTTACTTATAGGTATGTTAATGATGCATTACCCTGCCTTATCTTTTCAGTCACTGATTTCATAAGAGCTTCACTCCTAATCACCAGTTGAGTAGCTTCTGCTTTATGATCTGCTGTAAATTTTCCTACCTCCCCCACTTCTGCGCACATTTTAAGAATGCAGATGAACACCCTCTGGTGCTACTATCTGAGATTGTAAGATTTTAAAGTGAGCATCTGGCATTAGTAACATTTTTAGATCTATTTTTGGCTGACTTTCTCATTTTGGTGCCTTCTCTTCCTCCCAGGAGTTTCATAGTTATTTTTCCAGCTTGAAGAACTGTCTCTGCTTTAATGTTTTCTAGCCAAGTTTTTACATATCTGTCACCACAATACAGACATGTGGGTTGTATAGTTTTTAAAGCAGGGTCTGTAAACAAGTTTTTGCCCCGCCTTCTTTGATGAGTTAAGTTTTGGACAGCCTGCTCAGTGTTCTTTTTGGGACTGTGGAATGCATGTTCCCCCCACTTGCCACTCCCCTTCTTTTAATGGGAGGACTGTTTACACTCTCTGTCTAGCACAATAATCCCTAATCCCTTAGACAAAGTTTTTTAAAACTTAAGGCATCTGTTTACAAACTGATGTTTAAACTTGTGTCACACCTTTGATCTGCTGTTGTATGAATTCTGTTGGAATAGTCTTCAATCTTCCCAGAACTTTTTCTGTTCTGTACCTCTGGGGAAATGTTTTCTTGACATCTCTAAAGCCTAACTTGACCGTCTTATTTACCATTTGAATCTCCCTCCCCCATTTGTGCATGCCTTTTATTGCAATACTTACATTGTTTAAAAAAAATTTTTTTTTAACACAGGGAGACTGCATTGCTTATTGATCCAAAAAATTCCTGTTCTTCATCACGCCAGTGGGTTGCTCTGGTTGTGGGACATGAACTCGCCCATCAATGGTTTGGAAATCTTGTTACTATGGTATTTAATATTTTTAAGTGCTCAAATATATTTATCTTCATCCTGCTGCACATTATTTTGGCTACATAGTATTTCAGGTTTGACTGGAACATAGTACTAAAAAATAAATGAATGATAGAAAATCTTTATTTTAGAACATCCACTTTGAACAGTGTTTATCAGAATCTCTGTGTCAATCAAGAGTATGTGGATAGTCTTTATTCAACACAGAATACTTCCTAAACTGTTGTAGAATTTGCCTGCAAATGGCAAAGTCATAATACTAATTTGAGTGAGAGAAAAAGATTCCTCTTAGGTACAGAGATTACAGGCTAACTATAGTTTCTTGAGCATATTTATTATGTAGTTTAGTAGCTGAAAAGTAACCTGATAAATAACAACATGATCAGTTAGGTTGAAATGTTTTTAGGAGTCAGTTTTCTCATTGCCTAAAATGTTAAGTTGAAATTGGATAGAAATGAAACTAGGGAGTAACTGTAAAGTATATTAAAATTTCCAGCTGTCCCATTGAAATTATTATTTATTATGTTTGCAGTAAATTTTGCAGCGTTTGCAGTGAATGATCTCTGTTCTTAAGTCTTGACCTTTCCCTCTTACTCCAAATAAGTACCATCTATGTCGGCTAGCTGTGTTCGAGTTTGGGAGCACAGAGTTTAATGAGTGAACTAGAAGTACTTCTGCAAAGAAAGAACTGGAGATTCTGGAGCCAGCCAAATTCCCTGATAGCATTTTAGGCTGCCAAAGAGCAGAACCTGACTTGGATGTTAGTTGAGTCCATATGTCATAGGAATAAGCAAGAAAGTAAGACATTTAGCAACTATTACGTGTCTGAGACAGCTTTTAAAGAAAGCCAGCCCTTGAAATTAAACCATTTCCTTTTGCTTTGGGTGTTTAAAATTTTACTTAGGGGTGAGAAAAAGTTTTGAAATATAATTTCATGTGGAATTAAGTATGCTGGTACCTGTATTCAAATATGTACAGAAATATTTTCTTCTCCTAATGTAGCAAGTTTGTTGCTACCAAACAATTTTTGTTAGCTTTGAGCAGTCTTCATTTTTTATGATTTTATTTTTAAACTACCAGCAATAAATTTTAGTAGGGGAAATGTGCACATTCTCATATAGCTTTTAAGCAACTTTTTACTGGATTTGAGCAACTGTTCTAGTTATTAGATGTCAGTTGTTTCTTTAACTGAAATTTAAGGGCTCATGATAGGTTGGTGAATAACTAGCTCTGTACCAGCTTATCTTTGTGGAAGCTACTAGTTAAGTGCACAAAGCACTTAGATAGCCTTTCATCACTTAATATTGAAAATATTTTATCTTTTCAGAATTTTAAATAAATGCCTTTTTGCTTTTCACCATTGCAGTAGTCCTTTAGCATTTATCTTGGATTCTTATATTGCTTTCTTTTTGTAAGAGATTTAATCAACTTTAATGAAACTTAGATTAAAATCTCTTTCTAAAAAGTTGACTTTTTTTAAAAGTTGGTTTTATCTGTGACTCATTTGTATTCTTTGTCCATTCTACTGTTAATTCTTATTAGCAGGTGAGAATTTTATATTCCATAAATACTTAAACACCGTTCATTACTGAACTACTTACTGCCATGATACTTCTGTTAATTTTACCTAATTTTATATGAGCAGTACTGCTTTTCTGTTTATCTAGAAAGTTTAACTCGTCAATCAGTCATTATGGAAATCCTTCCCAGTTTTCCTTATTTGGTCCTGGTAGCTTTCTGGTTTATTAAACTAAATTTTACCTGACAATATAGGCTCTTGCCTACATTTATCTGCCCTCTTCCCCTTTTCCATATGAGGGCTTTCTCCCCTCCCTCCCTCCCTTTTTCCTTCCATTTTTATCTAGCTTTGGTAATAAAAAGTTACTTAGCTATGTTTTGAAATGTCCCTCAGGCCTAATGCCAAAATCACCAGTTGGCCTTCTTTAGCATCTCTTTTAAGCATCTTTTTTGTTTAGAGACGTGAGTTATTTACTGAATGTTTTTTACTGAATTTTGGCTTATTAAGTTGTAAGTTGTAGAGTATAATGGAAGGGACATGTGAGTTTTTCAAATTAGTGGAATGATAAATACTTTGTTTTCTTTACACATTTCTTTCTTTTGTTTTTAGGAGTGGTGGACTCATCTTTGGTTAAATGAAGGCTTTGCATCATGGATTGAATATTTGTGTGTAGACCACTGCTTCCCAGAGTATGATATCTGGACTCAGTTTGTATCTGCTGATTACACTCGTGCCCAGGAACTTGATGCTTTAGATAACAGCCATCCTATTGAAGTGAGCCATACTTTTCAGCCATTGGCCTTTGCTCTCATTTCTAATGAAATAAATAATTTGTTATAGAGATACTTAGGAGCCTGAAAAGAAAAGAAAATTGCACGGGCAATTCACTTGTTTTTATAGCTCATATTTTCAGTCTTGAAAATCCCACAAGAGTAAGTACTAATTATGTTTCTTTTTAAGGTAGACAGTATAAGAATTTTATCTTTATAGAGGCAAGTGCTATATATACCCATAAGCATTCACTAAATACATTTTTATTGAACAGTATGGGAGAACCATGCCTGTTGGGCAGTATGCACAAGGGAACATTATGATTCCGTTGTTTCAAAGAAAATTCTGAACATATTCTTTTATTGTTGTCATTGTCTAAAATATATATAAAATTTTATTTCTCTTGACTTAGCCTATCCTTATTTTGACTAGTTTATATGAACAGATTTTGCCTCCAAAGAACTTATAGTCTACCTTGACATATTTAACCAAAGTCCTATGTAATTATAAGCTGTTACAGTTAGTTGCAAGAAGTCAAATGTTTCTCATCTCTCCCTTCCTCCGTCTCCCAATTCCCCAATAAAATGATCCATGGTGATTTGCCTCCCAGCAAAGCCAAGCCAAGACCCACAGAGATGGTGGAGATAATGTTATATACTCCGCTTTATTAGTGTTAGTTACTACAGTCTTTTTAAGGATCATCAGTATTCATTTATGAGTGAACTAAAGGCAGAAAAGTATCTTATGAGTTAGGAGGGTTTTTCTAGAAAGCTTTTTATGTAATTTAGTATTACAGGCTGTCTGCTTCCTGTCATAACCCTGAATCACACTGTCTGCCAGGTCAGTGTGGGCCATCCTGCTGAAGTTGATGAGATATTTGACGCTATATCATATAGCAAAGGTGCATCTGTCATCCGAATGCTCCATGACTACATTGGGGATAAGGTAAAAAAGCAATTAAAAAAAAAAAATCTTCCATCCTTTTATGATGAAATCATAGTGTTTTGCATGGGAAAAAAGTGTCTACTTTTATCTAGATTAAGTTCCTAAGTAATTTTTCTAGACTCTAGAAGGATATTACCCTGATCTGGCTTATCTTCTTTTCTTTTTATATTGACTCTTGTGGTCTCTTAGATGAATGATGTGTAAATGTGTTTGGGGGATGTGTGGGAGGCTGGTATAAAACTTAAAAGCAAATGCAGAAGGCAAAGAGTATGCATTCTTAAATAAAAGACAGTAGACATTAGAGGGATAGATGTTTTTCAGTAAGTCCAACACTCAGCTAATTTGAGTAAATTAGCTTTTGAGTACTAATATGCAAATACACTATAAATTCCAAGGTCTTAATCTCCTGGATTTTAAAAATTGTGTTTTCTCAGGACTTTAAGAAAGGAATGAACATGTATTTAACCAAGTTCCAACAAAAGAATGCTGCCACAGGTAATCTTTAATAGCTTGAGATAGCAGTGAAGAGAAGGTGTTGGCACTCTATCCAGAGCGGGACATTTACTTTTTTCCAAATACTTAACCTTCCGTGTGATAGATAGGAAATAAAGTTGACCTGTTTGGTGCCATGTGTTAAGTCATAGATCAACATGAATCAGAACCCGTTATCCTTCTTGTCCCCCTCCAGAACTCTGCTCTCCGTAGCTCAGTGTCCTGCCACCTCAGAGAGTCTGAAGAGTTTGGTTTACCTTACCAGAACTTGCTCTTTTTGGTGACTCATTGGTTTTATTGGCCTAAATTGACCAATGGCCATTAAAATTGCTACAAATTAACCATCTTTTACTGAACTTGTGGAACTAGTGCAGTGAGTTTCAGTGAAGGTTTAAGAGTTTTTGTGGTTTAAGAGTGTATAGTGGTCTATGATTTATTGTGTATGGGAGTCAAAACAAAGAATAAAGGTAGGAGTTGATTGAAGATGAAAAAGAGCCAGAGTTGGAGTTTTGAGTTCTTCAGTGAACAAAAATAGTTTAAAAGCAAGATTTGTGGGGGCACCTGGGTAGCTCAGTTGGTTGGGCATCTACCTTTGGCTCAGGTCCTGGTCCTGGGGTCCTGGGATCGAGCCCCACATAGGGCTCCCTGCTCAGCAAGAAGTCTGCTTCTCCCTCTCCCACTCCCCCTGCTTGTGTTCCCTCTCTCGCTGTCTCTCTCTCCCTCTGTCAAATAAATAAATAAATAAAATCTTAAAAAAAAAAAAAGCAAGATTTATGTAATGTCACTAGTATCTAATAGAATGACAAAAGTTCAGAGAGGCCTGGCATGGGCTGTTCCTGAGGTTTGTGACCTGTGAATTAAAAATACAGAGTGTATCTGCCTCTCTGTTCAGGACATGATGTAACCCTGACACTCTCCCCTCCTACCCTACCCCCACCCCCTGCTGTAAATTTCCACCTCAGTTTATAAAAGAGAGAGGCATTCTGTTCCTTAAAGCAGAACTACAGAGAATGTGCTCCTGTAAGTTTTCTGAGTCTTTAGCATGCATACATATAATGCATGAGGAAAGAACCTTATAGTTCTTTTTTCTTTTTTTTTAAGATTTTATTCATTTATTTGACAGAGAGAGACACAGCGGGAGAGGGAACACAAGCAGGGGGAGTGGGAGAGGGAGAAGCAGGCTTCCCGCCAAGTAGGGAGCCCGATGTGGGGCTCAATCCCAGAACCCTGGGATCATGACCCGAGCTCAAGGCACACACTTAACGACTAAGCCGCCCAGGTGCCCCAGAACCTTATAGTTCTTAAACTATAATGTACACACAGTGACCCAGGGTCTATGGAAATGTTTGTAATTAAGTAGGTCTGGGTTAAGACCTGAGGATCTGCCTAACAAGCTCCCGGTGAAGCCAGTGGCTGGTTTATAGGCCACCTTTTGCACAGCGAGGCCTACCATGGACCTTTTCTTGGTTTGCTTATGTTATGAAAGACAATTGGTAGTTCAGACACAGTGCAGTCACCATCCATGGTTTTGGTCCTCTGTCTCTCCTCACTCCCCTTTCCTTAATTCGTGCCTTTATGATCTCTCTCCTGAATTCTGCAGTTGCCTACCAGCTTAGTACTCTCTTTGGTTTTCTCTCTCTCTCTGAGGCTGGCCAGGGTTATCTTTCTAAAGCGAATCTCTGATTGCATCACCTACTAATTAAAAACACTCAAGATACTTCACTCCCCTCCACAGTAGAGCCCCACAGTCTTAGCAGCTCAGCCCCGGCCTGCTGTCTCAGCCTCAGTGCTCCCACACCTGGGCCTCTGTCTTCAGCTTATTGAAAATTTGCTGTTATTGATATTTTCTGTCTTTTCTTACACTTTCTTCTTTGTACATAGACCATTTATTCTGTCTACCTGGATTGCCCTTTTCCCTTTGTCAGCCTAATGAACAACTCCTCTTCAAGATGGAGACCAAAAGCCAACTCTTGTGAAGCCTTTATTTTTCTTGGATTTTTCTTTTTTTTTTTAATATTTTATTTATTTATTTGAGAGAGAAACAGCATGAGAGGGGATAGGGTCAGAGGGAGAAGCAGGCTCCCCACTGAGCCGGGAGCCCGATGTGGGACTCGATCCCAGGACCCCAGGATCATGACCTGAGCCGAAGGCAGTCGCTTAACCAACTGAGCCACCCAGGCGCCCTTTTCTTGGATTTTTCTTGAAGGGCTTTTCCTCTGTTCATGTCCCAATTCTAGTGTGTGTCACATTGTATTGCTCTTTTGTTTACTTGACCACCAGTGCTGTTTGACCCTGTGAGTTTTACTTCAACCTCAGAGCATTGAATATTTTTTAACCTCTGTTAATCAAATGGGTATAATGGTTGTAAGTTTGTGGATGATTATTTAGGGGTGATCTTGAATATGTTTCTATTTGTTTCTATTTCTTCTTGTTTGAACTCACCTGTTTATCTTTTGGTTATTATAATTTGTGATTTTCTTTTTAAGTAAACTCTAGGCCCAACGTGGGGCTCGAACTCACAACTCCGAGATCAAGAGTTGCATGCTCCACTGACTGAGCCAGCCAGGCACCCCTATAATTTGTGATTTTTTTAGTAAATTGGAACAATTAAGGACATCTTAGACTATAAGACCAGTTTTTGTAATAGAATTTATTTAATGGGGAGGCGAGGGGACATTAATTTGACCCCCTGTTTGTCTCCTGAACCTGAAAGAACCAAAAAATTGGTTAGCAGTGTAGTGTCAGGAGTTATGTAAAATTTCTGGTTTGTTTAGGAAAACAAAAATGTCAACATTTTAGATTTTCATTGTTTGTGTTTATCTTCTAGAGGATCTCTGGGAAAGTTTAGAAAATGCCAGTGGTAAACCTATAGCAGCGGTGATGAATACCTGGACCAAACAAATGGGATTCCCCCTCATTTATGTGGAAGCAGAACAGGTAACCTTATAAAAAGTCCTCCAGTTCATCTGCTACTGTATTAAATGAAATTCAGTCAGTGTTATCAAATTTGCTTTTCTGTACTTTAAGTATTCTAGGTAACATTTAAGCCAGCCTTTGCATTGTTTTCTCAGTGATTTATTATCTCTATACTGAATAGTTTGTCCCCCACATCATTAAAATCATACGTACTTACAGCAGAAAACAAAATGTTGTCTACTTTTACTGTCCCCAAGGAAAACTGTAAACTTGATGTGTTCTTTTTTTTTTTTTTAAGTTTATTTATTTATTTACTTACTTATTTAAGTAATCTCTATACCCCATGTGGGGCTTGAACTCACGACCCTGAGATCAAGAGTTGCTTGCTCTTCTGACTGAGCCAGCCAGTCACCCCTTGATATAAATCTAAAATGAACAAGTGGGGTTTATTCCAGGAATGCAAAGTTGGTTTAACAGTTAAAAAAACAGGGGCACCTGGGTGGCTCAGTTGGTGAGGTGGCTGCCTTCGGCTCAGGTCATGATCCCAGAGTCCTGGGATCGAGCCCCTCATCGGGCTCCCTGCTCTGCGGGAAGCCTGCTCCTCCCTCTCCCGCTCCCCCTGTTTGTGTTTCCTCTCTGGCTGTCTGTCTCTCTGTCAAATAAATAAAATCTTAAAAAACAAACAAACAACAGTATATTGATTCATAATCACTACATTAACAGAATACAGGTGAAGAACCACATAATCACTTCAATAGATGCAGAAATAGCATTTGTTAAAATTCTACACCAATTTACAGTATTCTTTAAAATTAGGGGTTTTTTTTAAGATTTTATTTTTAAGTAATCTCTGTACTCAACTTGGGTCTTGAAGCCACAACCCTGAGACTGAGAGTCGTGTGCTCTACCAGCTGAGACAGCCAGGTGTCCCTTAAATTAGTTTTAATGTTGGTTGGGTGGCAGTGTGATTTTGATTAGAATTGCACTATTATTAGTTGAACTGTTAGCTGCATTCAGAGAGGTGTGCTTCAAAATGAGTTGTCCCCCCAAGAGGACTGAGAGTTACACATCAGCCTTCAGTGCATACCAGAAGTTTATCTTAACTTAGTTTAATTATATGAAATTATGGAATTGTTCTCTTTTATTTCTTTGCCATGGTTTTTTGACCTGCACAGAGAATTAATTACTGTTCATTTTTAGGGAGGAAGATTCATAACTCTTTTTTGGTGTATGTTCACTCTTGTGGTTCTGCACTGTCCATAAAACTAAGTATGTTTTGCAAAGATTTTCTCAATATGGCATTCTAAGTTAAGTTAGTAAATTTGGTTTTTTGTACGGTAAGAATTCTAGGTGACACTTAACCTAGCCCTTGTACTCTCAAAATGCACCCCAGTTTACATGATTTGTTACAGTGCTTGCAGGTTAACCTTCTGGAGCCACATCTTACCCTTAAACATGATTGTATTTTATAATAAAGTATACACATTTGAAGACCTCTCAGATTGAGCATTTGAAGGTAGTTTAGGGAATGCAATCAATCATTTCTTATTGGTGGGAAAAGATATCTAGAAGCTTAGTGACCTACTATTAGGCCATTATGACCATTTTGTTTCTTTCTACTCTTCTTCCTCCACTTTGAACTGGTCTGTTAATAGGAGATGCCTGATCAAACTTGACATTGACATTCTATATTGACTAACAAGTAGTTTTCATTTTATCTGTTTTTAAGAATAATGACATGCTACAAAGATGATTGTTCTTTTCACCCCTGGGGATTTCATTCCTTCAAAAACTGTCAACACTTTAGTGATTACATGTAAAACAGACTATTAGGCCATATTTTTTTCTTCAAGCAGAACACATTTTTAAGGTATCAGAATACTAATACCTGACTTCCTCTGTGTTACTGAGACTAAATTAACTTTTCCATCAAGCTACTTTCAAAGTCTTACTTTCTTTGTTTTGTTGTTTTTTGTCCACAAACACAGCCAAACTCATCCTCCATTTCACACTATAATAAAAATAAAAGCCTATCTATGACTCTTAATTCCTTTAAAAAAAGGAGAGCACTCCAACATATAATATCTTGATTATGATTTATTTCTCACTTTATATTCTCTAAATGTAAACATTTTTGCTTTATTTCTGAATCAATTTAAAAGTCACCTTTCAACTTTCTCGACGACATCTCTGTGACAAATAACTAATCAGTGATGGATGCAGTGTTTAAGTTCATTAGCAATTTCTTTGTGGCATCAAAGTGGTCATTGCTGCTTTACTCAGATCTTTCAGCTTTTCAATTCTGTCTTGTGTAGTCAGTTTATCCATAAAGGTCATGGCCTAATTTTACATTTGATGTGGGTGATGCTAAATCTGTTATATCTTAACGTTATTTAAAATGTTCCAGGACATATTAACAAATGATAAGTAAAACAAATGAACGCATACTGTTGAAGTATTTTTTTTAAATATGTACTTGCCTTTGTTGCTTCTGGCTTTTTAGTGTTTTGCAGTTTTTCCCCCACCACTTTTTTTGTGTTTCATTGCAAAGCTCAGCCTTTGAAGCAAAGTGTGTGCCTCTGTCATGTGTATTGGTCTTTTTCATGTTTATTGGTCATTCTAAAAATTTGAATTCCTAACATGCTAATCTGAGGTTGCCACTTTCTAGAAGTGGAAGAGTCTGGAGATATAACCTCCCTCTACAAAGATAAAAACAGCTTGCTGTAGTATTATTTATCGTTATGTATCCTTGAGAAAATGGTAACACTTTAAAGTTCTTGTCTGCATGTATATCCCTTCATTACATAGAACATGGCCTTTTATTTAAAGTATTGTTATTTTGAGGCCTAAATGAGAAGCAATGCCTTTTCTCCCATTCTGTCTATCATCATCTTCATCACTGTTGCACTTCGGGTTCTCACGAGTCACTTGGTCACTTGGCCATACTAGTTTCACCTTCTACTTTGTCACAGAAGTGTTGCCCCCTCCAAAAAAAAAAAAAATGTGAATACTACTATTTTAGCTTTTGTTTTCCTTCTTTAGGTAGAAGATGACAGATTATTGAGGTTGTCCCAGAGGAAGTTCTGTGCCAGTGGACCATATGTTGGTAAGCAAGTGGCTATAAGTGGGAGCTGATAAATGAATTTGGATACCATGAGTCAAGTGTTCCAATTAATAGGAAATAATTATTTGTAATTGTAATACTTTTAATAGAATTAAATAAAAACAAGGAAATGGTAATAAAATACAAATCTAGGAAATTAAAAAAGGAGATTCATGAGGTATTTGTAGTGTTTTGATATTCTTTGATTTTTGAAATTCCATGTCATTATTGGAAGCTATAAGAAATGAATTAGGATAGGAACACCCAAGAAGTAATGCTTTAGCCTTCATCCCTCAAAGAAGCCTTGGTGCACATTTGTGTGGGTAGCTAATTTTTTTTTTTTTTTAATTATTGGGCATACTAAGTAAGTAAACAAGTAAATAAATAAAGCCCAGTGATTATTTAGCATTATTATGTACCAGTTACCATGCTAATCAGTATAACTGATCCTTATTTTATAGTCTCAGCAGCCCCATTTGGTAGATAGTATTTCCTTTTTACAAATGAGGGAGCTGAGGCATAGCTGGGTTAGTTAAGTTGCCCAAGGTCACCTATCTAATGAGTTAAAGAGTAGGAATTCAAACAAAATAGTTGGATTACATGAGTTTATACCTTTAACCACCACTCAACTCTGGTTTTTCAAATATTTCTACAGGTCATTGATTCTTTTGCTCAGGAAATTAAAAGTGCTTCTCTGCACCTTTCTCACTTCCTTTATTTTTTTTTTAAGATTTTATTTATTTGACAGAGAGAGAGAGATTCTTATTAATTGCAACTTTAAACTGCACTGTCATTGTAATGAGATGTTAACTTGGATGATGTGTTGTCATTGTAAATATACAGCTATAATCAAGTGAGATCAGACATAATAAGTGTGTCACTGAAATGTGAAATTCCTATAACTGGTGTTGGAAAACCATTTCACAAAAAATAACAGTTGGTCAAGATTATCCTGTACTCTGTACCATTCATGAGTAGGCAGACAGGCAGGCAGGGAGAGGGAGAAGCAGGCTCCCTGCTGAACAGGGAGCCCAATGCGGGGCTCGATCCCAGGACCCTGGGATCATGACCTGAGCGGAAGGCAGACGCTTAACCGACTGTGCCACCCAGGGAAGGTGTATATCAGAATCACCAATACCTTTTCATGCTCCGCCCTCCAAAATATGGTACACCCTACTAGGGTTAAGAGGTACAGCCTTCCATCCTTAACCTTCCTTAGCATTTAGAATTACTCTTTAGATAACTATGGCTGACAAGGCAGATGACAGGTTTATTATCCAAAATAAATCCCAAAGTGTTACAGTTTCTGTTTCCTGCCTCATACCAGTCTGCATGGTAGGACTGACAGGTTTTGCAGTTTTTTCAAATACTCCGTGACCAGTATAGGCAGTATTAAAACCTGAACTATCCCAGCATTAGGAGAAAATTCTGATTTGTGCTTTAGGCTAATAGCATAAAGCTATATAACTTATTAATAGTTAGATTAATGCATTGGGCAGTGACTCTCTTCTGTTTGGTATCTTAATTCAAAGTCTGTTCTGCTGATACCTAAAGACAGTATGTTATCTGCCTTACAAAAGTTTGGACTTTTAGCTATAACTTTTTAGTGATGGAATCCATCAGCTCCAGGGAGTATCATGTCTATCACAGAAATAAAAATCAACCCTTCAGTGTTGCAGTAGTATGTATACCTGTTGAGGACTGCACCTTAGAATGTTTTTAAATGCTATGTGAGAGCTTTCACCTACTTGAAATTTCTTTTAACAGTAAAATCATTACTGTCTCTATGGCTCTATAAAGGGAAAACGACAAATTAAAATCACTGTATTTGTGATACTACAACTGAATAAACTGTTCTCCTTTTTTAAGCCATTGTGATTTTGTTAAAAAAATCCTCTCTTCCTTTGTACTAGTATTATTCAGGTTATGGAAGAATTTATGTACCATTGAAAATGAGCTGTTGGCTTAACAGTTAGACTCAAGCTCATGTGTAGGACACCTGTCCTCTCTCTCCGCCTTACCCTCTATTTCTTCCAGTGACAAATTATTTTTCAAGTTTCCTATTCTTTCTTCTCTTGCTTAAGGAGAAGACTGTCCCCAGTGGATGGTTCCTATCACAATCTCTACTAGCGAAGATCCCAACCATGCCAAACTGAAAATTCTGATGGACAAGCCAGAGATGAATGTGGTTTTGAAAAATGTCAAACCAGACCAGTGGGTAAAGGTAAGTCTAGAAATGGCCTGGCCATTTTTACCTGACCGAAATTAATTGATTTCTCTCACTCCCTTTATGCACTTTATGGCTGGCTCTAAATTCTGCCTTAGTTTAGACTAGGACTTGCAAAGACAAAAGCATTACTAAACTTTCCTATGTGAAATTGAGGGCCGGTTTTTCAATTAATATGGTCTAGATATCTTCCCTTATGTCAATTAAGGAAGTGGTAGATAAGCAGATATTAAAGGATAGGATCAAAGGGGAAAAAATAGTAGATTATGTATAAAGTCACATTAACTTTAGATTTGTAGTCTTGCAACTTCAAACTGCACTGTCATTGTAATGAGATGTTAACTTGGATGATGTGTTGTCATTGTAAATATACAGCTATAATCAAGTGAGCTCAGACATATAATAATAAGTCTGTGTCACTGATGAAATGTGAAATTCCTATAACTGGTGTTGGAAAACCATTTCACAAAAAATAACAGTTGGTCAAGATGATTTTTCATTATCCTGTATTCTGTACCATTCATAATTAAAGTATCTACTACACTTTTCTCCCAGCTATAGGTTCCTAATAGGAATTATACATTGTCTCAGACTTCTGTGCTTTTCTGAAAAAAAAAACATTTCTCCCTTTGTTTTAATACATATTTTTAAAATATACTTAGTGGAATACTATATTACCATTTGAAATTAATCGGGAAGATTATGTAGCCATATGAAATTTTTCTTATAAATGAGAAAAACATGTACGCAATGATTGTAATTGAGTAAATAAAGGTATTATTACTGCAGTAAAAGTTAAAGGGACCAATAAAACAGCAGCTGTATTATTGTGAGGTGATTTTAAAAATTACTTATATATAAATAGTAAAATATTTATATCTTATGCTATTATTTTACCTTTAAAGCATTTGATATATAAGTATTATCAAAAATATTTTTGGGACGCCTGGGTGGTTCGGTTGGTTGGGTGTCTGCCTTTGGCTCAGGTCGGGATCCCAGGGTCCTGGTCTCGAGCCCCGCCTCGGGCTCGCTGCTCGGTGGGGAGTCTGCTTCTCCCTCTCCCTCTGCCTGCTGCTCTGCCTATCTCTCTGTCTCTCTGTCTCTCTGTCTCTCTGTCAAATAAATAAATAAAATCTTTTTAAAAAAAATTTTTTTTGCCTGTTGGTAAATAGCCTATAGAGAATAATGACAGTCTGTGATTACCTCACTCCACAAATCACATGAAATTACCTTTTAAGTCCACATAATTCTTTAAAATCTAGGATCTGAGCATTGTTGTTCTGTTGAGACTCTGGCTGAATAGATGAGTGTAAAGGCTTATCTTCCTCAGAGATTCCACCGTCCATGCGCTCTTACATATAGTAAGTATTTTCTGTAAACTTAAAACTGTCCACTGAGAGTAGATAGAAACTGGCCCCTGTGACTCTCTCCCTCCCTACCATCAAGCTCAGTTTGGAGCCTGACGTGGGGCTCAATCTCCCGACCCTGAGATCATAACCTGAGCTGAAATCAGGAATCAGACACTTAACCGACTGAGCCACCCAGGCACCCCGACAACCGATTTCTGTCTTTGTGTATTGTTTCATTTTCATCCCTGCCTGTATATGTGAGCTTTGTTGTTTTCGCTCAGATAAACGAAAACCAGAACAACTTTCACACCTGCTCAAGATGCTTTAAAAAAACAAAGGCAGCTGTTTAATTAATAATGCCCTTTGGGTGTCTTTTCAGTTAAACCTGGGAACAGTTGGATTTTATCGGACACAGTACAGCTCAGCGATGCTGGAAAGTTTATTACCAGGCATTCGTGACCTCTCTCTGCCCCCTGTGGATCGACTTGGATTACAGAATGACCTCTTCTCCTTGGTGAGCCTCTCTCAAGTAGTATGATGGATTTTGTTGATTAAAGGATTTTGTTTTTCCTGGAGTGTCCGCCTGAAACATAATTAGAAGAATATGGTTCTTCCTGAAGGTTGAACACCTTTTGGGACTAGAGCAAATGAATAATTATTAATTAACAGGACAAGATTGAACCTTTTTAATTTATCAGAAACAAATCCCATCCCACTACTCCTAAGCCAGGTTTTGCAACTAAAACTGCCCTTTGTAAGGCAGAAATTCTTTTCAGTAGAAATAGGATAGGTATGAGCCTTGAAGAAATTTCCCTACTGATGTGTTTTTTTAAATAATTAATTCAGGGGCACCTGGGTGGCTCAGTCGGTTAAGCGGCTGCCTTCGGCTCAGGTCATAATCCCAGGGTCCTGGGATCGAGCCCCGCATCGGACTCCCTGTTCAGCAGAGAGCCTGCTTCTCCCTTTCCCTCTGCCTGCCACTCTGCCTACTTGTGCTATCTCTCTGTCAAATAAATAAATTTAAAAAAATCTTTAAAAAAAAAATTTTTTTAAATAATTAATTCAGAGTGATTTATCTTTTTCTAAAATAGTGATTATACTTTGCTGGAAACATCTAGAATTTTTTAACATTCCATTGGTACTCAAATAATAATAGCCCATTAGCTTTAGAATTATGTTATATTTGGCTTTGTTCCAGAAAGGATTTAAATCAGCAATTAGTAGTATTATCTTTATGACTCCAACATAGGTTAGATAATTTCCAGATGTCTGTGATAAAATTATCAGATTCCTCCTAGTGTTCCTTTAAATTGGACTTGAAATTTTCCCTCCCCTCTGCAGTAACTGGTCTTGGATTCCTCCTTTGTATAAACACAGATTAGCATTGATGCACAAAACCTCACATCTGCTGATCTCATTGCTGAGAGAGACCTGTCCCAGGAGAGTGGTGTGTTTGTGCAGTGGGCTGCTGTAACAGAAGTTCTTTTTCCTAGCTCTGTTAGTTAATTCTGAAAGGACTCTGAATTTCTAGTGCCTTCCAGTTTGCCTTCTTTTAGAAATGAGTAAAGGACAGGCTGAAGTTGACACAGTTTGCAGGTCCAGTTTTGAAACAGCCTCTGTCAAAAACCAAAGCCCTAACTATTTTTGCATCTTTTCTGAAAGTATGGGAATTTTTAAAATAAAAACAAAGCCACGGCCGCAGACACTGGATAGAAATAGGAAGTTATTTTCTTTCTTGCTTTTTTTTTTCCTTCCTTTCTTTTCCATTGTAGTTGACACACAATGTTACATTAGTTTCAGGTGTACAACATAGTGATTCCACACGTCTCTACATCATGCTGTGCTCACCACAAGTGTAGCCACCTTCTGTCACCAAACACTGCTTTTTTACTTGGCTCTTTTATAAATAGCAAAAAAGTTAATAAGGAATGTTGTCATGATAGATTTTTATTCCAATAATCTCCTGAATTTATATAGTCTCATTTCCTTTAAACCAGAGACATGACTAACTAGCAGTAGATAATGCTGAAAATGCATGCTTATGTTTTTTTGTTTTAGTTTTTGTTTGAAGACTAGATTAATTTATGTTTTTTCCTATCCCAGGCTCGAGCTGGAATCATTAGCACTGTAGAGGTTCTAAAAGTCATGGAGGCTTTTGTGAATGAGCCCAATTATACTGTATGGAGCGACCTGAGCTGTAACCTGGGGATTCTCTCAACTCTCTTGTCCCACACAGACTTCTATGAGGAAATCCAGGAGTTTGTGAAAGATGTCTTTTCACCTATAGGGGAGAGACTGGGCTGGGACCCCAAACCTGGAGAAGGTAATGGATGTACTGAATGGGGAAGGAATTGATGAGAAATTGATCCTTTTTTACTCAGCTGTGGTTAACAGTATCAGTAGCGTCTTTGTATCTGCTGGATGTTGCTATGTATTCAGCTCACCAGAAATTAAATGTTAGGTCTTTTAAGTTTACTGGTGAAATTACATGGGGCACAACATAAAAACAGTGGTGGTTATGTGTATTCACTGCTAAATATGATTTGTAAACAAAGCAAATGGTGGAAATAGAAATCTTTTACAGAGTTCCAAAGGCGCATCTATAATCAAGAATAGCTAAAGGGCGGGGGGCGCCTGGGTGGCTCAGTCGTTAAGCGTCTGCCTTCGGCTCAGGTCATGATCCCAGGGTCCTGGGATCGAGCCCCGCATCGGGCTCCTCGCTCCGCGGGAAGCCTGCTTCTCCCTCTCCCACTCCCCCTGCTTGTGTTCCCTCTCTCGCTGTGTCTCTCTCTGTCAAATAAATAAATAAAATCTTAAAAAAAAAAAAAAAAGAGGAATAGCTAAAGGGAATTTTGGATTATTTTATTTATTATTACCCTAAACACCAGGCACCTTATATGTACAACTTGTAAAGATACTGAGAGATAGTACCTGAATTAAGGAAGTTATTTACTTTCTCCATGTGTTCTCTCCTCTGATTATTTCTGTAATCATATATTTACTCTTTTGCTGTCCTGTAAATGTTGGGGATGGTGATCTTAAGGCTTTATATATAATTATTTTCTACCATCTGCAAATAACTAAAGATGGTATTTCCTCCCGAGCAGTCTTGATCTGGGATGGGGTCTTCTGCAATAAGAACAACAGTAACAATTACCTAGAGTTCTGTGTTTTCCCTTCATTGATTCAACAAATATTTATGTACCTAGTAAATACCAGGTTTTATTCTGGGAGCTTTCACAGTAGTGAAGAAAGCATTGACCTTTGTGACTTGCATTCTAGTGGGAGACACAGCAAACCATTAAATGTGTGATATTTTAGGTGGCAGTGGGGATCATGAAGAAAAATACAGTTAGGTGAGGTAGACAAAGAGGAGGAAGCTGGTAGCTCATAGAGAGTGGCCAGAGCAGCCGTCCCTCGGGATGAGAGGATACGTGAGCATGAGCAGAGAGCTGGGAGGCTGTCTAGAGGGAAATGGTCCAGAGAGGGAGCAACCAGTGCAGAAGGCCTGCGGCAGGAGCTAGTACATTTTGGACTTTCACTGTTAGTGGTATGAGAAACGAATTTGAGAGTTGAAGCAGAAGACCATGACTGGATGTATTCAGCTGTGTGAAAACCAGACTGGAGTCGGGAGGCGAGAGAAAGGAGCAGGGAGACAAGTTACAAAGCTGTTTCAGTAGTCCAGTTGAGGCGCTGGCTACAGCTCACACTTGTAGGTGGTAAATTCTGTGGATGTTTTGAAGGTGGAACTGAACCTATTTGGTGGTGGACTGGCTGCAGTGGAGTAAAAGGAGCCCCCACATTCGGGCCTGAAGGAGTGAAGTTGCCATCTACAGGAGTGGGGAATGCTGCCATAGAAGCAGGCTGGGCGCAGAGGCAATCAGGAGTTGGGTTTTGGACTTGGGAAATGGGAGGTCCTTTTAGACATCCTGGTGGAGAGTATCATGCCTAGAGGTCTAGGCGGAATAAATCCATTTAGTGTGTAGGTGGTATTTATAGCCATGAGACTGGATGAGATCACGCAGGGCCTGATGTAGGTGCAGAGAAGAAAGGTCTGAGGACTAGGTCCTAGGCGAGGCTAGGATTTGGAGATTGGGTGGAAGAGGAGCAATCAGCTGGGGAGACTGACTGACCAGTGAGGTGGGAGAGTCAGGAGGGAGGAGATGTCCGGGAAGGAGAGTTATCCACATGACAAATGCAGCTCTGAGTCAAGCAAGATAAAGGAGAATTGAGGATTACATTGGCAGATTTTGTGGAGTGTTGGAGACCAGTTTTGGGTTCTCCGGACTAGGAGTAGGGGAAAAGGAGACAGCACACTTAGACAACTTTTTAAAGGAGTTTTGCTGAAAGGGGGGTAGACTGGAGTAGAGGCATTTTTTTAATCAAGTGGGAGATTTTATAACATGTTTTTGTGCTGATGACAATGATGAATGAGTAATAGAAAAATTCATGATGTGAAAGAGAGGGGAGTAGTAGCTGAGCAATGGCCCAGTGATGGAGAGGAGTCGGGGTCCAGGGGAGGAGTTGGCTTTAGACAGGAGCACAGATCCCAGAAACAAGACAGGAGAGGGTATATGAAGACAGATACAGGCAAATTAGTGGATGTTGTCCTTCTTTTTCATGGTGAAAATATGTAAAACTTTTTGGGCTCAAACACAGCTTTGTGAAATAGGGAGAATGTCTTTAGCTTTCTAGTTTTATAGATGGAAGAGTCAAACAGCAAAATAACAAAACATTGTCTTGCATCACATAGCAAGTCAGTACCAGAGCCAGAATTATAAATTGGTTCTTCACTAATGTCCTCTTGTGTTATCTGTTGATCTCCTGTGGTTTTCTTAAACTTACTTTTTACCGAGTTATGATTTAAATGTAGCAAGGTGCACATAAATTTAAATGTTACAGTTCAGTGACTGTTGACAAATGCATACACCTAAGGAGGTTGCCTTGGGGCCCCGTCCCGGTCAGTCCCTGCCACTCAGGTGCCCCCTACCCGTCCCATGCAGGCAAACACTGTTCTGCCTTCTTTCAGCCTAGATTAATATTACGTCTTCTAGAACTTTATGTAAATGGAATCCTAATATATATTCTCTTCTTATATCTGGCTTCTCTCGCTCAGTATAATGCTTAAGATACATCCAGTGTGTTCGTTCCTTTTTATTGCTTAGTGGTATTCATTGTATGAATATACCATGACTTATCTGTCCATTTTGGTATTGCAGTCCATCATTGCTGGTGTTAACTTTTTTTTTTTTGAGATATAATCAGTATATCATAAAATGGACCTTTTTAAAGTATACAACTCAGTCTTTTTTAGTTTGTTCACAAGGTTGCACAACTATCACCACTATCTAATCCCAGAACAATTTCTTTAGCCTCAAAAGAAACTGCATACCCATTGGAAGTCACTCCCCATTCCCTGGCAACCCCCGTCCCTGGCAACCACTAATCTGCTTTCTGTCTCTATGGATTTGCCTACTCTGGGCATTTCATATCCGTGGGCTCATGCCCCATGTAGCCTTTCATGTCTCACATTTTTCACTTAGCAGAATGTTTCCAAGGTACATCCATTTTGCATTGTATATCAATACTGCATTCCTTTTACAGCTGAGTAATACTCTATCGTATGGGCATACCACATTTTGTATATTCATCACTTGATGGATGTTTGGATGGTTTCTACTTGACAGTTGTGAATATTGCTATGAACATGTGTGTACAAGTTTTTGTGTGGACAAAATGCTTTCATTTCCCTTGGGTATATACCTAAGAGTAGAATTGCTGGATCATATGGTAACTCTGTGTTTAACCTCTTTAGGAATTGCCAGGTTGTTTTTCAAAGTGGCCACATTTTACACTCCCACCAGCAATGTATGAGGGTTCAAATTTCTCTCCATGCTTGTTATTATCTTTTTCAGTAATCCTAGTGGGTGTAAAGTGGCATCTCATTGTGGTTTTGATTTGCATTTCCCTAATGACCAATGTTGATGTGCTTATTTCGCATTTACACATCTTTGGAGTAAATAGATCCAGCAGAGGTTGATTTTTAAATCTAAGATTTCAATTTATTATACACAGCGTACTGGTTCTGTATGTGACCTTTCCCTGAATCTTGGGTCAAAACTGCAAGATCTAAGCCTGTTCCTTTCAAATATAATCCTTAGCAGTGTAATTACCTAGATGGAGTGAACATTTAATAAATTCAGATCAATGGCATTTATAGACCAAGTCAACGAATTTATTTGTCTGTCTAGTCTGTTTAGCACTTCATTTCACTCTTACGATTTGAATAATGTAAATCAGGTGTTCTCTCAAGTACTAAGGTAATTGATTGTGTTTGTTCAAGATGGTAGACATAGTATGACACAATTTATAAGATAGCCAGGTGGCATATTTGTGAAAACAGGATTTTTAAGCAGTTTCGTGTCTCTTTTATTTCTTAATCAGGTCATCTAGATGCACTCCTGAGGGGCTTGGTTCTGGGCAAACTAGGAAAAGCAGGACATAAGGCAACGTTAGAAGAAGCCCGTCGTCGGTTTAAGGACCATGTAGAAGGGAAGCAGATTCTCTCCGCTGATCTAAGGAGTCCTGTAGGTTTTCATGATAAATAACCTTGATTTCTAAGCGACTGCATCATGTGTGTAGTATGGAATGTATTTAATGGTAACCAAAAATGACCTAAGTACTGACCCACATGTCTGACTCTGATTTAATACGTGCCATTTAGGTGGTTTGTAGCCAACTTCTCCTTTGTTTAAAGTTTCTCAGACCACACTCTGGTGCTGAAAGGTGATCATCAGTGCACCTTTCCCTGAGAGAGCTGGTGTGAGCTGCTGTTACTACATGCTATCTACCTTGCTGGTGTTCAATGTGGGCTCTAAGCTCTTTGCCACAATTTGTAACGTAACATCCACACACAGCTGTTCATAAGTGTTTTGACTCGCTTTATGTCTTTTCTTAACATTGGACTATTTGGAACAAGATAGATTTACTCATATGCCTTCTTTTTTGGTCCTGTATTCTCTTGTAGGTCTATCTGACTGTTTTGAAGCATGGTGATGGCACTACCTTAGACATTATGCTAAAAGTGAGTAAATTTGGAAAGGGCTCCCATTTTCTGCTGTTGAACTTGAATTGACACAGAGATTATGAACTTTAGGTGGTTAAAAGTCTGGGCAAAAGAAATACATGCAGATACGCATATCGCAGACAGGCAAATACTAAGAAACTATGGGAGGGGCGCCTGGGTGGCTCAGTCGGTTAAGCGTCTGACTCTTGATTTCGGCTCAGGTCATGATCTCAGGGTCATTAGATGGAGCTCCATGTTGGGCTCTGCACTCGGCAGGGAGTCTGCTTAGGATTCTCTCTCCCTCAGCGCCACCTCCCCCCCATTCTCTCTTTCTCTCTCTCAAAAAGAAAAGAAACTAGGGGAGAAATATATAATGTCTTCTTCATGTATACTACCAATACGATGCCAAAAGTCATCTAATTTCTTCACTTCTTTTTTTTATTCGTAAGTTTATGCATCTTAAATCTAAAAATTGAAATGTTCATTTTGATTAACATGTCAAGTTCTTAAAATTCTTCCCTTCAGTGTAAACTTACTAGGGTACTTCCCATTTTAAAGAAAACGTTTGTGTCTGTGCTTAGAAAGAGGATAGATGGGGGCGCCTGGGTGGCTCAGTCGGTTAAGCGTCTGCCTTCGGCTCAGGTCATGATCCCAGGGTCCTGGGATCGAGCCCCGCATCGGGCTCCCTGCTCCGCGGAAAGCTTGCTTCTCCCTCTCCCTCTGCCTGCTGCTCTGCCTGCTTGTGCGCTCTCTCTCTGTCAAGTAGATAGATAGATAGATAGATAGATAGATAGATAGATAGATAGATAGATCGATCTTTAAAAAATGGGGGGGATAGATGATCAGGTGTCTCAAGGGTTTGAGCTATGCCAGTGCCTTTTATGAATGGACAGGAAATTATGTGACCTGCCTGCATTGCCTCCATAGTTTTCCCAGGGTAGTTGGCATGTAATTAAACTCTAATACTAATACTGTGGGACAAGCGCTGTCTCCAGTCCCTGTCCATGTAGTTATCAATCTAAGAAATAACTTGACTATTCTGGTTGCATTGCAGATGGAGGGAGCTGAATCTATTACCATCAAATAAAATGCGCAAAATGTGCCTAAATCAAATCTGTAAAGCCCATTCATTTAAAGACCTGCACTTAGGGGGGAACAAACAAAACAGGAATGGGATGTACTTTATTACTTCCATCTTTAATGGATTAAGAACACTTTCCTGATCTCAAGTGGATCAGAATTGCAAATCTAATTTCTAGTATTTAGTTTTAAACAAATCCTGTTTAAATGATTAGAATAGTTTGAAAAATACAAACTTGAAGAAACTCAAAATGTGCCGCTTTAACTACTGATCTTGTACAAGAGTTTCCTTCTAATAATATAAAAATTATACTTTGGGTTTACCTTTCAATTAAATGACATTGAGGTCCCTTCTCATTCTTAGTATTCTGTGAATCTGTGCACTATAAATCATGTATTTCTTTGCAGATGAAATCAGGTATTTGTGGATTTTGTCTTTTCCATAAAAGTATGGAACAAAACAGGGGTTCTAGAATTCTCGTGACAGATAACTTAGACATTTTCATGTCCTGTCATACTTCAAAGAACTTACACTAGTACTAGTATGTATATTTAATAAGTGTTTGCATCTGTTAACGCAAGGGAGCTGACTTAATTCTGCTTTACTATAGGAAGAGCTCTAATGAAGGCCAAATTAGGTTTCTTCAAGAAACCAGTTGATGGGAGATGAGGAGGATTGTTTTCTGTTGGTAATTTAGGAATAATGAGACAGGATAAAAAAATACATATATATCTTTTTTTTCAAAGTGTATTTGGAATGTGGTGTTATGGTGCCATCTAGTGGTCTAGTGTAACAGGTTCTCCCTGGGGAAAACAATGCTTCCTGAAAGCCAGTGTTCAGTCAGGCCTTGAGTATTGGTGCTGAAAAGGACCGTAGAAATTATCTGTCCACCCCGCTCATTTTACAGATGGGGAAACTGAGATCCAGAGAGGTTAAGGACTTAGTCAAGATCACACAGCTAGTTAGAGGCAAAACTGAGACTAGAACCCAGGTCTTCCTGACTTCCTATTTATTTCACCACACTGCTGCTCAAAAGAGTCCAAAGGAAAGGAAGAGGAAACTGGGACCTGTGATGGGGTCTACAGACACTGGTCAGTATAGAATCTTCAGTGGGAGAGAAGATCAACAGTCTATAGATTAAGTTGTCTTGGAGAGGCATCTCATATGCCCTTGTAATTCTAATTTTTTACATGTATAATAATGTTTTGCTTCTGATTATTAAAAAAAGACTTGGTATATTTACTATGGAAGATTTAGAGACTATAAAAGTATAAAGAAAATAAAACTTACCTGTAATTTAAAAAATTTTTAAAGGTCACAAAATAGCAGGTATAAGATGATCTTATTTCCAAGTTGGTGATGTGTACATATCATAATAATTTAATTTTTTCTTTCCCTTTTTTCCCCTAAAGATTTTATTCATTTATTTGAGAGAGAGAACATGAGTGGGGGTGAGGGGCAGAGGGAAAGAGAGAAGCAGACTTCCCACAGAGCAGGCAGCCTGACGCGGGGCTTGATCCCAGGACCCTGAGATCATGACCTGAGCTGAAGGCAGACGCTCAACCGGCTAAGCCACTCAGGCGCCCCAATAATTTAATTTTTTCTTTTCTTTTTTTTTTTTAAAGACTTTATTTATTTTTTGACAGAGAGAAACACAGTGAGAGAGGGAACACAGGCAAGGGGAGTGGGAAAGGGAGAAGCAGGCTTCCCGCGGAGCAGGGAGCCTGATGCGGGGCTCGATCCCAGGACCCT